TGAAAATTTAAGTAATGGGCTTGCTGTCATTGTAGAGACTTGTATTAGAGAGCTTAATCATAAGGGGGAGTGACATTAATAAAAGTGTTTGGTGTTTTTCTGAAGCTTCATGAGATACTTTCCTTTTTTAATAGCGCCTAAATGGATCAAAATGTTTGTTCTGGACGAAGCTGATGAAATGTTGAGCCGTGGATTTAAAGATCAGATTTATGAGATCTTTCAAAAGCTAAGCACAAACATCCAGGTAAGAAACACTTTACATGGTTAAATTGATAAATGCAGATTTGTTGACAGTGTCGCCAAGACCTGCTGATAAATTGTCTGAATCAAGACTGATGTCCTGGGCACATGGTAACATCAAGTAACGTGTTCTAGGTTGTGTTGCTGTCGGCTACAATGCCAATGGATGTGTTGGAAGTGACCAAAAAGTTCATGAGAGATCCCATACGTATTTTGGTGAAAAAGGAAGAACTGACTCTGGAGGGTATCAAGCAATTCTACATCAATGTTGAAAGAGAGGTTGGTAGCAGCTGTACTTGCTCTGGCTGGAGGGTTTAAGTTAAAGTTACTTTACCTTCTTGTTAAAGCACTGTGCTAAAATTACAGAAATCAAGGCTGAGCTTTGGTTTCTGTAATAATGCTAGTAGAGTACACACAAGAAGAAGAAAAACTATGCACTGGATCCAAAATGACTAGGGTGGACCTCTTTCTTAATGTCCAGTGTCCTGTGTCTTAAGATTTGGTGCAACAGTTGATGCAGAAACTTTGGTTGTCTTACTCAAACTTCTCAGGTCATAATTGAATGTAATTGTACAACAGATAATGCTTAATTGGTTGTTTATTTCAAGTTTTAATTCTTGTGTGAGATTGTTGTTAGGTACTGAACTGTCAGTGGCATAATGTATTTCTTGATGTCCTTTTTCCTGTTCAGGAGTGGAAGCTGGATACTCTTTGTGATTTGTATGAGACACTGACTATTACGCAAGCTGTTATTTTCCTGAATACAAGGAGAAAAGTAGACTGGCTGACAGAGAAAATGCATGCCAGGGACTTCACAGTCTCAGCTCTGGTAAGAACTGATTCTGTACATAATGGAGAAGGATCCTAATGAGCTGCGTTTGGGTGAAAAGCAGGAAAGTTATAATATAGCTGTGCAGTGCTGTATTATCGTTCCCCCTGCTTAAAGTAAAATGCTTCCTTCTATCCCTACCTGTTCTGTTCCCACAACAGGTAGGGACGCTTGGTTTCATACAGCACTTTTTTTAAAGGGTATTCTATTCTGGAGTGTTGGTTGATACTATAGTAATTATAACTTGAACTCCACAGCATGGTGACATGGACCAGAAGGAACGGGATGTTATCATGAGAGAGTTCAGATCAGGATCAAGCCGTGTCCTGATCACTACTGACTTGCTGGTGAGTATTGCATTAATTACACTGAGCAAGTTTCAGTTTTAATCTGGTGCCAAAAGCTTCATCTTGAAGCAGTGATGGTTATTGTAGCCTGAACTGTTTGGAGCTTCTTGGAAGAGTAAAAGACTATGCTCCACTATGGACTACACAGTTGTAGTTCATCACTAACCATGTAGTCAACAAAAGCGTGGGATAAATAATTTTATCTAAAGCCTGTGACTTGCAATGAAGAACCTGTGTTCCTTCTCAGGCTCGTGGCATTGATGTGCAGCAGGTGTCATTGGTGATAAATTATGACCTGCCGACCAATCGTGAAAACTACATTCACAGGTGAGTTGGCTCTGCCCTCTTGCTGGGGTGCTACACTGAGTGTCATGTCCTCCTCAGAAGTCAGCACCAGAACCTCATCTATTTTTCCCTTTAGTCTGTACCAATAACAGGAGGTGTTATGCATGCATTCATACAACAACTGCTAAAAAACTAGCAGGAAATAAGCTACTTGTGGTTTTGCTTTAAAGAAAGCAAAATTACTTGTAGAGCTGTGGTTCTGAAAAAAAGGAGGAGCAGAACTTTTGGACAGTAAAACAAAGCAGTGGGAAAACTTAGATGTGTGAGTTCAGTGATGGCTAATAATGCATTGCAATCATTGCTGAGATCTGGGGAAATTGCCAGCTACTGAACTGCCTTTTTGTCACAGATTGTGGACTGCAATTACGAGAGCCCTTACTGGCATAGCATCTGGACAGCATATTAGCTCTGTCTGTAGGTCCTAGCAAGTCTTCAGCTGCTGCTGCTCAGGGACCAGACCTTAATGTTAGCAAGACCAGTTGTGTACGACTGACTGCCTTCACTCCTGGAGGTCCAACAGTGTTCATGCTGTGTGTGCCTTGTTTGTTCTTGGTGACTCCTCTTACAATGGGATTCCTGTTTCTGTGGTGTGTCTCTTTTGGTAGCAACTTGAGTTTGTTGTTTCCCTAGGTTTAGTTAACTGCTTCTAGTGACTGTCCCTAAATTAAGTAAACTGTGCTTTGTTACTTGATGTAAAAAAATACAGGAGTCGATAGGAGCAGTTGATGACACAAGATGATGCTCAGAAACGGCGTTGACCTAATTTAGGACGTGGATTCGTAAGCGGCACAGTTTGAATAAAGAGCGAGTCGGTATTTATATATTTCTTTTGTCATGATTATTCACTAAGTTTTGTGAGCCATTTTTGTGTGTTAAGCTCTTGCTGGCTAGGTGCTTTATTGTGCAGTGTGCAGGAAGGTAGCACTGATGGTGGGTGTAACTAAAGAGGAGTGTGATGTTAATGGCTGACTTGGGCTTAAGCAAAAATGTGCAGCTTGGATTTTGCTGTTTCAAAAAAACAAAAACCTAAGTTTTCCCACTGGAAACAGTTACATTGAATTAAAATTCTCAAGTGGATTGTGCTGTTCCCTGTTACTGAATACAATTGGATGAACTTAGGAACAGCCTGATTTTTATTCTTTCGTTTGCCATGGGTGTATTAGTTGATTAGAGGGGAGGGAGACTGATCTAGGGCTTCATACCACAGTACCAACCATTAAATAAAGATCTTACTTTGCAGCCAAGAGAGTAACCTTTTCTACTCTGCTGTTCTCCATAGGATGGACACTTCTTCTGTACTGTTGGCACTAACTGCTAGTTTTTCCTGAGCAGAGATGACTTTGGTAGCAGCTAGTCCTGTAAATACAGCATAAACTGGCCAGTGGCAGATAAAAGAGCAGCAGTTAATGAATGGATCTTGCAAAGGTTTAAAGCAGGTTAGTTAACTTGTGTGTGTAAATGTGTTTTCTTTTGTGCAGAATTGGCCGGGGTGGTCGTTTTGGCAGAAAAGGTGTGGCTATCAATTTTGTCACTGAAGAGGACAAGAGGATCCTGCGAGACATTGAGACTTTCTACAATACTACAGTGGAGGAGATGCCGATGAATGTGGCTGATCTCATTTAATCCCTGGGATGAGGTGGTTTGAATGCTGTGATCGCTGTTGCTGAGTAGGCGATTCACAACGTGCATTGTGCTTCTTTCTTTGGGGATACATTGAATCTTGTCTCAATGCTCATAACGGATCAGAAATACAGATTTTTGATAAGCGAAGCGACTTTCTGTCGTGAGCTCTTGTGGGGAAAGCCACTGGCTTTGTCCACTTTAGGGTTAGACTGTTGGGGTTGGGTGGAAAGTCATGGGGTCTGTAAATTTTTTCTTTATTAGAAATTTATTTCCTAGTTCCATAGAAGTGGTTGTATTAGATGTTCTTTATCATTTAATAATTTACTTATGGACTAAAAGATATAAGTGCTGTATAAAGTCAGCCAACTATGTTAAACTAGCCTACCTTCCTTTATTGTATGTACTTACACTTCAGATTGAATTGGAAAGGCCTTTCAAAATCTCTAAACTTTTATAAGAGCATTAAAATGCATTTTGTTTCATATGTATTTATTCAATAAAGTATTTAATTAGTGGTAAGTGTGATCTGGACCCTGTTGCTAAGCCCCAGCAAGCAAGCAATCATACTATTGTCTTAGTTAGGGTTAAACCCAGTAAAATTTGCCATATTGCACATGTCTTTATGAAGTTTGAATGTTCAATAAAATACTTCTATATTCACTTAAATTGTAAATAGTTGCTTCTTGGTTGAGGTGTCTTGTGTATTGATGGCAGCTCTGTCTGACCTGTCTCTTGGTGGGAGCTTTTAGCAAGGTGAGTGTGGTGGTGGTTGCTGTTTGTTCTTTGTCTCCAGGCCTCCTGTGTTCTGTTACTGGGCTTTGATGAGGTGGTAGTCAGCTTTGGAGTCATTGCAGGGACTGTTTCTGGAGGACCTTGGAGTAGTAAATGTTGAGCTTCATGTGCTAGAGGCTGTTCCTGTGTGACAGCTCACGCATGAGGGATGTGTTCATGCTGAAATACCCTTTCATCAGCCTTGAAAATGACTAGAATTAGTAGTGACTTGATTAAAAAGTATACCCAGCCCAAGGCACTTTTTTCTGCATTTGGGGAGAATGCAACTTCCAAGTAAACATGATTTGAACAGGTGTTCAAAGTAGCATCTATGAAAGGAAGTGGATCCAAGACCAGCCCAAAGACCTGCCACCACCTGGAGCTGTGTTCTTTGTGCAGGTAATAGCTCTAAGCTATGATAGAATGAGACTTGAGAACAGTCACCCATTGTTTCTTACTGCAATGCTAGTGCAGTTGAGTGCAACGCTCCCTGGAAACTGATTTTTGCAGCATTTAATGCTAATGGGCCTGATAAACAAAATGGAGGTAGGTTGGGACATGATCCCTCAGGACCTGGGTTCAACCTGAAGCCTTGTGTTCAGGAAAGATACACTTGTTTTAGCAAGTCATTGCTTTCAAAACCAAGCAATAAGGGCCAAAAGGAACAACTCATCCTTTGTTCAGCTGATGACTAAATATAGTATGTGTACAATAACTTCAAATGCATTTACCTTGTCACATGCAAGTCCATCACAACTGCAAAGTAGGAGCATTACCGGCCTGTCTGCAGCCAGAAGTGTAGTGTAAAAAACTCAAAGATCACAGCCTCACTTTTTCAACTGATGCACAGTCAGTCCTTTTATTGAAAAAGTACAAAAGTACACAGGTCCCTGCCCTCCAGCCCAGCCACTTCTGGAGAAGTTAAGTGTTCTGTGTGAGCTGCTGCATCACAACAGCACAGAGACTCACCAACTGCAAGTATTCATCAGCACCATCTGCCAAGCATTTGTCTACTTCCTACAAACAGAAAAGAGAAGGTTAAAACCCCTCTTAAAATGGTGGTGGTCAGGTGTCCTGGTTTGAGCCAGGATGAAGCAAATTTTCCTTTTACTGATTACCCCCCACCCCACTTCAGTAAGCTCAAATCAGGAGCTGACTGAGGTTACAGTGGAGAATACCAAGATGACATTTGCCTACTATTTACTCAATTGGCAACTGCTTCTCCAGCAATCACACCTCACCCATCCCACCAAAATGTGAAAAACCAACTCTACAGCTTCCATCTTCTGGAGGAGACCAAGATGTGACAGTTTATACATGAGGGATGCAGCATTTGCACTGCAACTGTCTGCTAAGAGCATTGCTCTGCAGGCCATCACACTCTTCCCTTCTTCAGTGAGTTTAGTAAAACCTCCACCACAGCTATCAAAATTTGTCAAGTTAATTAACTTTTTTTGAAAAGGCATACTTCACATACCAGAACAAAACCTTGCATTTTGCAGTTCCCAGTTTAAATGCCAACTGAAAACCTTCGTTTTCCTTCTCAATTTATATTAAAAACCAAACAAACCACACATCCCTTGCCTGAGCACCATTACAACAATATAATACAACTAAAAATTCACTGGGTTTCAATTCCTTCTCATGAAATTTCTCTGAACAAAAACTTAGGTTCTGTCAAGAAACAATCAGAACTAAGAATCAAAGCATTATATATACTTCTTGGGAGAGAGAGAATAAACAAAAATTAATCAGTGGAGATTTTTTTAATTTGTGGGTTGGTTTGTTTTTTAACTCAAGCTAAAACTTACCGCAAGTTTCTCAACTATGACAGATTTCTGCTTGTCACTGAAGTCGTTGCTCTCCACAACAGTGTCATGCAGCTGGTTTACCAGTTGAGCAACAGCGTATCCTTCATTTATGAGATTCTGTGTCAGGGAGGGAGGAAAATGGAAATAATTGAGCAACAGAAACACCATAAACTGGAAAACTCATCTGAAAAGTTTGGTCTGAACTGAAAGACAACTGAAATTTATCATGGAACTTGTTGAGGACAAGCCAGGAATTTGTATACAATCCATGTGAGGACCAAGGGAAAACTGCAAAACATGGCAGGCATATAGCAATAATTTTGCCCAAATATTCTTCCAGCTTTTGACAATTTGCATATCTGGGGTTTTGTGAGATAGAGGCATTTTAAGCATTTAAAAACCTCCACTGAACCTGTCCAATCTTATCCTAAAATTAGGAAAGCTCAGCATCCACACCATCATGTGGCAGTTTCACAGCCTTCACATTTTAAACTGCCACCTACTTTGATTTATTTTCTTCATCTGGTAGTTGCTACCCTCAGGCATACAGAGATCTGTTAAGCCAAAACTGTTTTAATGAAAGAAAAAACACGGCAACTAAAGATAGTTTTGTTGGTTTTTTTTAAATCTGTAGTGCCTAGTTACAAAACCAACAAATATTAAGAACACTATTCCATGAAGCCATTTAGGCAGAGAGAAGTTTATGAAAACAGATAAAAGAGTTGGTGCCACCTTATTTTTCTGTACATCAAAATACCCACCCATGCTTTACAGAAGTATGCATTTCAATTGTGTCAACTGAAATCGAGCTTTGATACTTGAAATAAGCCCCACCATGAAGTACCTACTCTAGAAACTGGAGAACAGTTCCAAACGACTGCATTAGATTAGGTCATGGTTTGATGAAAGACTATGCCAGCTCTAAGGACTTACAAAATCTGTACCCTCACCTCTTAAGAACACCACTTAACTAGATATCATGGTAAGAAAATGTGAACATTTAAGACAGTACCAGAGCACTAACTGGTAGAAGACATTCTTCCTGAAATGTGCATCATAACTGACCTAAGGCCAAACGTTCTTCAGCTGCAGCTCAGCAACACAGGATTAACCAGGCAGTGACCTAGAAAGATATCCAGGCTAAAGCACTAAGAGGACCCTACCTTGGCCAGCATTTCCAGTTTCTCAAATGACCCACTCTGGCAGACAGAGAACAGTTCATCAGTTGTTTCTTTAGGGATGACCTGTAACATGAAGTTACATTTCTCAATTTAAACTTTATAAATTTAAACTGAAGTTGATTCTTACAGTAATTGTTTATAAAGGAGGTGACTTCAACATTTAATTCCCCTACACACCCAACCACTTTCAAGCAAGTTTACGTAACAGACTAGCTAAATATTAAGAGCTAGGCTGCAGTATTTGTCCTATATTGGTGATATGAAAACTATATACTGATAGTGAATTGTCAAAGCCACCTTCAAAAATCCAAGACACACAATCACTTATTCAGGACACTGACTCACTGGAAGACCTACTTCAACAATTAGATCAGCCACTGCTTTCTGCACCATTCTACACCTAAGCATAAGAGCATATCAGTTTTCTCTCCAGTGACAAAAAAAAAAAGGCCCAATATAACAAGATGAGACAATAAATTAGAAGAAGAAATATTGTCAGATGCCATTATTTAGCTCTGAGCAGTTAGCACTGTTCACATCCTCCCCTCTACTCATTGTCATTCCTGTCAGTTGACAGTCAGGACAGTTTGGTTGCAAAGCTTCTTTATTAATCTTTTCTATGAAGGTCACAAAAGTTGCATATGACCAAAGAATTTGGAAGCCTTTATGAAGATGTAAACTTGAGTTCCTTTGGTTTAAACAAGCATTATTCGTAACAGAATGTCACGTTTCTCTTTTCTATAATTATAGTCAACTTTTGCAGGTTTCTTAGAAATTGTGATTTAGAGATCCATGTAAATGAAATCCCTTAATTTTCTACAGTGAGGTACATAAAACTGCATGAGTTCACTGAGCAAATTGTTTACAACTGTTCTGTACAACACGCAGAGGAGCAATTGCCTCTGGTTCCATTAAAGCGAAAACTCCACAACCCTTAGAATTAGCTATAATGGTAGCACCTTCAAGGGAAGTTTGCACATCATTAGAGCCCATTTATTTCTCAGCTCCTCAACTCCTAATCTCTTATTTCTTGCTTTAGAGGGTGTCTTGTTGCTATAGGAACCCCTTCACACAAGTTTCATTAAATGCATTTCCTTTCAGGTTTCTCCTGTCCCTGTTAGTTTTATCTGTATCATCCTAGAAGAAATCACTACATACATATAATAACACGTACACATTATATATATATATATATATATGCCAAAAAGGCATTCAAGTCTACTGTCCCACAAAAGGCAATACACTTTGTATTCCTGGGCAGAATATTTCAACTTAAATTTAAATTATAACACTATTTTACAGTTTTCCTTGACTTACAGAATAAATCAATAGAAACCTGCCATGTAATAAGTGTACAGACTCTTTAAAATTCTGGGGCACAGTGTACCCAAGAATCAGTACCATACTGCAATATTAATGGGTATAAAATTTATTAAATCAAAACATTCAGAAAAGGTAGACACAGGTAACAACAAATACAGACTAATTAGAGGAGAAACTGTAAAGCTTAGCTTACCCCAGCAATTTCAGTGACAATCTTCTCTGTGATCTCTTTTCCGCCCATTAGGCGAGTGGCGCTTTGAAGAAAAGTAATTGCTTTTCTTAAGTCCCCTTCTGACACTTTAACAAGGTAAGATACTGCCTGAAAAATTATGTTAGAAAATGACAAGTTATATGTTCACTGTTAACTAAAATCCAGTTCACTTTCTTAGTAAATTGATTTGAAAACATCAGGTAGTGCCCAAAGCATATTATACCAGACAGGCACGATACACAAGTTACCAAGCAACCTCCATATATAAATGTGTGTGGGCAATTTTAGAATGAAGCACAGTTTATCAATGCAAGTATACTCAGCACAGAACAAAAAAGACCCTAAAATGTTGCTTCAGTTTTCTCTGTGAGACATTTCTCTAGTTTTGGGAAGAATACATGCCATCTGTGGAGAGTGAAAAATATCTAAATGAATTTATATATTGGATTTAATACAGTTGGGCAGTCTGGAAAAGTATGCTGACTTAGCCCCTTTCACTGTAATGCAATGATACACTGGATTAAGCAATAAAATTCCATGGCAGCCATGAAGTTACCTCACTACTGATTTTCACATGTTCCTTCTCACAAACATCCAATAGCCTCTGCCGTTGAATTTTATCTGACAAAGGCTTGAAGCGGAATTTGGAGCATCGAGATGTTAAAGGTTCAATTATTCTGAAAGAAAAGAAGGTAAGTGCTTGGTAAACAAATGCATGGGTCAATTTTGTACAAAGCTGTCAAGGCAGAAAAGGGCAGCTTAACCTTAAAACTGCAATACTGTAATAAAAATATAATAAATACCTAAACATTGTCTTCACTGCTGTATTCACAGTTACATCTCTGTTAACCCAGAACCATGAAAACTTGACATAAACTTATCAGTAAAGAAAGGGGGAGGAAGAGTACAGAATAGGAGGAGCAACACAGCCAAATAAGAAACAAATCCCACACGTACCTGCTGATGTAGTTACAAATGAGGCAGAAACGTGTTGTTTTAGATTCTTTTTCCATTGTGCGTCTTAAGGCTGACTGGGCTGCTGAAGTCATTGAATCTGCTTCATCCAGGATTACAATTTTAAAAGGAGGACAAACTTTACCACTGAAAAATAAGAAATCTGTTATCCAGGAGCCATCCAATAGATAGACCAAGTTAAAAAAATAAACCCATGCAAATAACAAGTCATATTATACTTAAGTATTTATACTCAATAAATAGAACGTACTCAGAGGTTAAATATTTTTTACTATTTTTAGATGAAGGACTAATATTTATAATAAAGGGGTGGACACTGAGTTCCCATAGAAAAACTGACACTTGAATACTGCAAAAGTCCTCTAGACTGCATATTTTGCTTTAAGTTTCTTCTTTCAACAACTAATGCAGTTGGTTTTTTTTAGAGGCTTCCTAACTTCCTGAATTTTAAAGACCACTGCAACATTCTAATTCCAGTACATAAGACCATTTCTTGCCATAAAGCCCTGGCATGTAGTTTCTTCCTGCTATCTTCCACAAATTTTTTTCCACAATTTTCTGGTTTTTTTCCCACACATACAGCTTCACCTAACACCAGAATCTTGTTAGCATCTTATAAACTACCACCCATCCTGTGTGAGATACTGCAGATCAGGGGTACTACAGAAGTAATTTCCACCACAACTTACCCAAAGGCACTTTTCTATGGTAGTCAGACATTTGCAAAGACAATACTGTATCACCAAATCCAGAAGGCTTGATCCTCTGGGGTTTTGCCTGACTGCCTCTCTCTAATGGCACTAGTAAAAGTTCCTCCCAGCTATTCAAACTCTCAACATGAAATTGCACGATGTCAAAGCTTTCCAAAGCACTGTGTGTGCTGCAAACTCCTAGGCTATGCTGACCCATCATTTATATTAGAATTAAAAAGTTAACCGAAACAAAAACAACCACATGCTTTGTGCTATGCAAGAAAGCCCATCCAACAGAGCCAGCTCTGATCCAGCACTTACTCTGAGCGGCTTCCAGACGCAGTTAACTGAGCAAATGCCTTCACTTTTTCCCGGATCACTTGTATTCCACGCTCATCAGAAGCATTTAACTCAAGGACTCTTTGCCGGAATAATTCAGGCCTGCAAAAATTTTATTACAACATGTTAGCTGCTAACTCTTGAAATTACTTATATACATTATAAAGTGACTCAACAGTCCATCTGGACTTTTCAAATGGCAGGTATTATGTCTGCCTTTGTTACTAAATAGCATGCTTGGTTTAAAGACAGTTAAATTGAGATCATTAAATGTTAGGTATGAATTTCCATTAGTTATTTTTACATTTGCCTCCCAGATTGCAGAAAATAGTAAGGTCTAAAATGATGTTAGTTATCCAGGAAAAGAAAAGGCAGAAAGTTGGCCTTCAGACACTGGCAGTGCTCTGCCTATGAAATACTACCAAAAAGAATTACCTGGAAAGTACAGTAATACAGACAGTATTTGGCAGCAGTATCATACAGTAACATCTCCAATAAGCATGAAAAAACATGAAACCAACAAAAAAAAAAGTGGGCTTTAAGTTTTGTGAATTCAAATGGACATACAACGTGGAGTTGTCTTCCTACTATTAAACTGGAAGTGGTTCTTTCCAAAAAAATACATGAGCCAAAAATTAAAGATGGGGGGCAGGAAATTACTAAAGTCATCATTAGATTTGCTCATAACATCAAACCACCTTCTCATCCAGTTTTTGCCTATGAGTAACTGAATTCCCTACTGAAAAACACCCAACTGTTACATATGAGCTGACGGACGCACACGTGCTGAATTTTAGTCTGACTCCCAATATTACTTCCAGACACAATTCAATGGCGTGTAGTGGGAAGATTACAGTTCAAACATTTTATGAAGTGCTTTGAGATCTATATGTAGCTGACTACTTAGTTAATATGGAAAAAGTCAGTAAGACACATGCAAGCTGTTTCTTTCCATACTCTTTTCTGTAAGGTTACAAGGCTGCTAGTCTCAAGTGTTGCAAGTCTATATTGATAACAGAAATAAATTATTTTTGACAGGACAAACAAGAAAAATCTCCCGTTGGAGCTCAATTAGAATGTGAAGACATTCCTGAAAAAGACCTAGAAGCTACATAAGCACAGGCAGTGATCAGAAGCACTCTGTCACATGGGTAGAAGACATGTGATAGTTGATGACACCAGACCAACTTGACCTCAGCTTACCCATAGAGTTCTCTAGCAGCTGCTAAAATAGTGGAAGTCTTTCCAGTTCCAGGTGGGCCGTAGAACAACAGATTGGGAAGCTGAAACAGCAAGGCACCATTTTTAAAAACAGCAAATAAATAAAACAAAGCACAAATAAGACAACATACTGAAAATCTGAGCACCTAATAGAAGAGAAACTGCTTCTGGTAAATAATATCAAGTCTTTCACAGTGGCACTAGGATATGCACTTTCAATATAGATGGAAAGTTATTAATACTAACATGGGCTAATAAGACTTCATCTGGAAAGCCCCCACAGTTTAGATCATGATTAGTCAAGGATGTTGAATCTAAACTGGGAAAGATTACTAAAGGAGTGAAGAGCCTATCTTGTGAGAAGTGACTTTTTAGGAGAGTTTGATTTAATTAGCTCAGCAAAACAAAAGCTGGGACTGATCTATGACTGATCTCCATAAATACGTCACAGCAACACAGGGATGAACAACAAAGTTGGCAGAAACCAAATTTCTACAAGTTAGCCATGAATAAGTTTTGGCTGAAATCAATAAGTTTTCTAATTAGCAGAGGAGTGATAGCTTTCTACACACCTATTTTAAGTAACCCCCCTTACAAATTATCAGGCTGCACTTTAAAACTGCTCCCTTTGACAGTAGAGGATGTTCCAGTTTAACACTCTTAGATCAAGAATCCAGGAGTCCCCTCTGATTGACAGCAGTAAGACAAACCCCTCAGTCTAACTTGATTTCCAGCCCTTAATAAATGTTCTATTTTTAAATAGAGTCAACTAAAATTACATTAGAGAATTTTATGCTGAATATAGCAAGCAATGCAGACAGAATGGGAACACCAAAAGCAAAGACATCCAAAAAGCAGAGAAAAATGCAGGAGTCCACAATCCATAATCAGAAAATGAAACAGACCAGTTTGGTAACAAGCATCCCATTTTAACAACTAAAATAAGACACAGAGAACAAATTCAGCTCTGTAGGTACTATAAAAGTACAGACAGAATAATTTCAATCTTCAATCAATTTATACTAAATAAATGCATTTTGTCTGCTCTCTCTGCCAATCACTCGTTGCTTGTTTCCCTAGTTATTAAAATTAAACAGATTCCACTACTAAGAAAACAGTTTTTCAAGTTTAATTAGATACCACAGTGTTATTATTCCCCTATAGATTTAAGAAAGCTCCAGAGAGAGGAAAAGCTTACAGAAGACAGCTGAAAATTCACCAACAACCATGTTAGGCTGGCACACTGCAAGGGTAGACATTTTCATGGAGATTTGTAATTTCATGCCTCTGTGCTTACTCACACTCTACTAGTTCTCAAAACAAGCATTAGCAGGTAAAGAGTTTCAATAAGAATCTCCTTCCTAGTTCCATTAAATCCGTAATTTACTACTGTTTCAACCTCATTTATGCTTGTTTCCCACCGAAGTTATCACCAGCATTTACACTGTTTTTGCACCAAGCACAGCCTAATCCTTTATGTAACTGTGGCAGTATTTTTAAACAGACTGCAACCTGATCTCGTTATCCATTTTTCCATGCCTGCCAGGGGTAAGCAGGATACCTGCAGGCATCCTTCTGCTTATGGGAAAATTATTGCATACAGTGCATACCCCAAATCGTTTTCTAGAAGTTTCAGTGCAAATGAAGATGTAAATTGCAATGATAATCCTACACCTAACTCTCTTTACAGTCATTAAGATATCGCAAAGTACAGGAAAATTAAAGAACACAATGATACTTGTCAATTTCTTTGCAGAAAGCAACAACAGATCAACAGTCCTGGCAGACAGAAATCAGCTTCTCCAGTTCAAAACCATTTGGAGACTCTGGTCTCCCCAGTTTATAACAAGACAGATGGAGATATATCAGGGACTTCAAAAGTCCTGCTCCATTTAGCAGCTCCCAAACCAAGGCTCACAAAACCAGCCCAATAAACAAAGGACTGGCTCTCCATTTTCAACCCTAAGGTTTAAATAAAGCACATTACACAGACCTACAGAATTGTCACAGCTGTTTCTTTGATCTCACCAGATCTCCAAATTCAGTAAGAACTTCTGAAACAAGTACCAGCCATGTCAGAGTTTAAATTACACTTTTGCCTTTTTGACAGAATTAGTCCTTTCCAGAACTAACAAAAATGTCCAAATTTTCAAGTGTCAGATATTTTGAAGTACTTGTATGACTTTGTTCTCAAATGCTTTACTGAGCTTGGTAGCTGTGGCAAAAATATAAAGCCTATAACTATAAGCAGAAGTTACATTTTTTCCTGTTCAGCTCAGGACCCAAAAAGTCAACACAAGTGTACTAGGTTCATAATCTGAGAAACTGCTGATCCTGAAGCTGTAAGGTTTTAAGTTGCTGTTGCTCAAAATAGAACTTCATAACCCATCACCTAAGCAATGTTACACGACTGACGTGTCCAGACAGAATAGGTAGCAGCACCTCGTTTCTCCTTAGCTGTTCATAGTTCCTTACAAATTACCTCTGCTAGACAAATATATAATATAGCAGCACTGCTGTGGAAAGTCAGATTTCTATGGGTATAACTTTACATGACGAGGTCACATTACAACAGCATTCTCATAGTAAATTGTATCTGGAACATGAAAGGAATCATACAAATCTTTCCCAGTTCTGTCACACCAGTTTCATTTTGGCTCCCTACTTTCAAACAAAGAAAATACTTCTGCTTTTGCAAAATCAGTATTTTCAGATAGAAATTGAGTCTTATTACTCAACACCTGAACTGCAGAGCAAATTGTCATAAGATAGAATTTTAAAATATCGAAGACTTATTGTGCATCAGAGCACACCACAAATGAAAAGTTTATTGCAAAAAACTCTGCAAGGTCCAAATTGTTTCTTTCAGCTCTTGGTGAGCAGGCAGCCATATCACAAATGTAATTTTCAGAACAACCTTACTAACTACTTCAGCTGGCATTAGCAGTCCATGGAAACAGAAGCAGCTTTTGGAGCACAAAAATGACCCTTCGAGGTGAAACAAGGAGCAAGAAAAGTCTCAGTATGCGCAAAGGCAGGAATCATCCAGGTTTGCAAGAACACCAGCCATCTCTTGGCTACCTACTTTTATTCTCCCTCCAGCCCCCCAACCTCCCCCTTACCTGATAACCATAATCCATACTGAGTATTTATTAAATCTTTATCCAAAAGCAAATGCCAGTGTAACTGAAAATGCTCTGACCATCCTCTATTTCCTTAGGGCACAGATACCAACACTGCAGTGAAGCCAGTGCAATTGCCACATATAGCTTTTTAAAACCAAAATCACTTACTTGGAAACTTCAACTCAAAAAGCCTGGGGATTACTTTCCAAATAGTACCTTTGTACTTAAAACTTACACTTCTATTATTAGTCAACAGTGTATTTGTTTTAATGTTTAGCAGTTTCACAGCAGCACAGACAGATCCCCACAACTGTTCAGCAGTGACTGGCAATCCAGACTTTTCTATGAAAGAAAAACTTCCCCTCTCCTCTTAAACATGAATGTCAAAACAGTAGCTAAATAGCACTGAAGTGACAGATTTGAAACTATTAACAAGAAGTTTACCATTGAGTTTTCCAGAAAAATGCTGAGAGGGCTGGAAACTTCACAAATTTTCCACATATATCACAGCATAATACAAGGAAACCACTTAGCTTGTTTGTAAAGTGCCACTGTATAAATTGTCACTGCTGAATTGGAGAAAAGGTCTTTGTTGCCACTGGCTAAGATTTCTGCCTAAACATAGACTGGATAGATGTTATCATCACACTCACATCAGCACCTTCCAAGGACTTTTTCAGCACAGCAACAACTTCATCCTGGAAGGCGACTTCATCCACATTTTTGGGGCGACTGAATAAAGACAATGAATGCGATTTATTAGCTAACAAAGTTTTGAAGAACATTGAAATTAAGAGGAATCTCCCTTTCTGATTACATCAAGCACTGAAGAATAACAGCGAACCTGCAGTTAAGGTCAAAATCATGACAGGAAATCTGTCTAATGCCTCTGGTCTGTACTACTGAAGTGATCTAATTTCTTAGGAAACTGTCTATTTCTATTGTGAACACCGGCCTGGACTGTTTTTAGAAGCAGGGCTGTATTGCAGACTGCAACATTTGACTACTTCGTGAGCTGATAAAGGCTTCTCAAAACGGAAGCATTTAATGCTCTTCGGCACCAAAGCCACAGTGATGAAAACACGCTTGACGTGAGTAATGGAGGCATTTTCTGCTCAGTAACACCAACAAAGAGCCCTTAAGGTAGTTCAGCGCGCTGTTTTTCTCATGTAAGTTGAAAAAGCTGAAGCTGTTCTCCCAGGTGGAAACACCTACAGCTGTAACTCCCTCCTCCACACCCCTCTCTCCAGATCCAACACAGATCTCCCCCCAACCAGCCACTGACACCCGGGCTGGCGGCCCCGCTGTCCCAGAGCAGCCCTTACTATTTCTCCACCCAGGGGATGGGTTTAAGCCTCTTGCCCTCCCCGCTGCTCCCGGCTGCGCTCTTCTCCTTGGCAGCGGGTGGTTTGGTGGTGATAGAAGACGGGCCTTTGAGAAAGGCCTGCATGGCCGGGCCGGGCCGCTTCAGGCTGCGCTGAGGTGACCGGGCCGGGCCCTCACGGCTCTTCCCG